ATTTTTTATAAGAGATTTGTATATATTTAGCTAATATTACACCTATTCTAGAAAACTCGAAGTTGGTGTGGTGACTAGTTATTATTAACTATATAAAGAAAGTATCTTTTTTATCCTCTCTCCCCTACTGTCTCCTCAGATCTCAATTTTAGCTCTCTCAATCTTTTTAACTCCTCCTTTACTGTTTCAGAAACTCGGAGAAGACTCTTGTCCGCGTACTTTATCAGAACATTGGGTGTCACTTTTCTCTTCCCAAGCTTATAGCAGCTGTCACAAATAGCGTTTGCTAGACTTTGTAGCTGGCTCGCTGTGTATTCAGAGTAATAAATGTGCAGTTGTGACTAGATTTAATTAGTTAGTCTCCTAAAAAGTATTAATTGTACGTAAACATACCCATCCACCCTTTTTGAGTATATCACGTGCAAGATAGTATGCACCTGCAGAAAGAAAGCTAGGAATACAGTCCGCAAACTGTTTGTCTAGAGTTGCTACCTCCAGAAAGTACTTAGCCATGTTACGTATCTCGTCGTCGTAATCATCCGCTTTGTTTATGCGTCGCAGGAAGCTCAAAGGGCCAGGCCATCCGAGGTTGTAGTCGAGTGTTTTTAACATAGACTTTTCTGCTTCCATGAAATTTTCACGAGTGTAAGCGTTTTCGGTCATATCTAAACACTCATCTAAGATTCGTTCATTTAAGCTTTCTTCATATTTTGATGCAATTAGGAAAGCAGTGATACCAGCGAGCTGCAAGTTCTCTATTCGGATCTCTCTGGATGCAAGGAATCTATCGAGAAGATTGACAGCAAGAAAAAGAGTCTCAGGTGAAAATTTGAAGTTCTGATGCACTCCCATGATCCAGTCTATTACAATAAATCGGTATTTCCAGGTAATCTTAGATTGCTTGTCCATGTAGAGAGGATCTGGTTTTAATAGTCTTTCTATAGAACGGAAATATTTAAAAATGTCATCGCTATCCCCAAAGTTCATGGAGACATCTCTTTTCTCGTCCTCAGAATCGTGTTCTTGGTGGTTTTCTTTAAAGAATTCTCGCGCTTTTCTTAGTTGTGTCTTTGTCTCCTCCGTTTCCTTAGGAACAGAAATACGGGTATCATCGGTTACGTTATCGAAATCTAAAGAAGGTGGACAAATGGAGGTGTGACGATTGGTGTTTGCGTGTTTTTTTCTATTTTTGTTGTCAACTTTAACGGCATATGTTGTATCAATTTCAGCAGTAGTATCACTCGTGGCTCCCGGATTTTGTCCAATATCTTTCATGATTGTAGACTGTAGGGTGTTGCTACTAAGTTCCTTGATAGGCAAACCTGATGCAGGATGGTTTTGTGGTTTCACGTTTTTGTTGGCTAGCTTTGGGTGTAGCACCTTTCTTCCATTGGGTCCAGTTTTATGTCTAGAGCTTTTAGGCTATTGTAGAAAACTATGTTAGCCGACTATACAAGAGTTTTTTACGTGTATTTTAGATAAATCTATAAGATTTACACTTTAGGTATGTGAAGGGAGTGCTTGTTCACAAAGGTGAATGTTTACCTTTGAACCTGCTGTGTTATTTTCTCTCCCCATCGCTGAAGGGGTAGTATCTTGGGTTATGCTGTTGTAAGAGGAAATGCTATGAGAAAGCAGTGAAATACCCACACTTATTACCAGAATAGGCTTTCCACGATATTACATGACCGGGCTCCTCTGTAATTTCAGATAATCGCAGCTTCACCTTAAAAAATACTTTGAGCGTACGATAGACTGACAACAGTCGTCACAATGAAGTAAGGGACGAGGTAGTAATGGTAGGGTGCGACATTCACATCTAACTCGTTAATGCTGTTGAGTTAGTGACAGTAAGAAGCAGATTGTGGAGAAAGTTCAGATCAAAGTTCTTAAGATAAGAACTAAGCACTGTATGAGAATGATAGGGAAGCAAGAGGAAAAAGCTCAAGGCGCAAAGAGTAGGACAGTAGCGGAATTTGTCATGGGAAAGCCTAGACCATGACACACGCACTGGAAGTCCCAATTCCACAGCCTGTATAGCAGAAGGGAGCCCGGCAAATATATTGGCCTCAACATAGCAAGACCACAGCATGACAACTCATCTTTATGTAAGCATCTTGCCATGAAGTCTAGTATGAGTAAGCAGTCTAGTTATAAGCAGCAGCGCAACAACGTAAGCCTATCTAAAAGCCATCTATGAGATGTAACTTAACTGATAACGTATTTAGTTAGGTGACTAGTAACATATCTTTGTAGAGACACTAAAACTAAGTAAAATTTACACTCTATTGCACTTGCAGCTTCCGATTTCTGTAAGCAGGCGACCTTCGATCCGACGCGAAGCCTCTCTCGCTTGGTGGTCATCTTGCCCAAATAGTACTAGAGCTCTAGTTCTTGTCAGCAATGTTATAGGTTAGTCTTTCAGAAATTCCAAACAATTAATGCATAATATATACGGAGTCCAAGTTTTTCTAGACAAGCGCATGCCAGGTGGGTGCATATCCTGTGTTAGATGAAAACTAAGCCATGTGCGCAAAGCGGAAGGCACAAGTGCATAATCGGGTATAATGCAAAAAAGGAAAGCGTATATTGTCTAGTTAGTTATAGAACATTTCGTAGATAAAAATAATGACCGTATTAAAATAGATCCATGCTTACTCTGACGTTGATTACTATGTTCATGTCTCACTTGTAACTACTTCGATACTGTCTTTAGCAATTGCAGCTTCACCCCTATCCTCAATCCCTACACAATATGCCAAACGGAATTATGGTCCAAAGTGAACTATGGTCGGATAGCGCGTTTTACCCCTGCTCATCCACTCACCAGTTCGCAGTAGAATACCGTCCGAATTATATTCAAAATAAATGCAACTTTCAATTTATATATAGGAAGCTTGTACGCGTTCAATGCACTATATTTTATTATCATGCGACCTATGTAGCGTGAGCT